TCGAAGTAGCTCGGCGCGAAGTCTCGAAGCGCGCGAAGCACATGGGAGACCATGCGATTGAAGGTGGCAGGTGCGTTCTTCAGACCCTGTGGAATCACGAGCCACTCCTAGAGCATCCCGCTCGGTGTACTTATGGCGGTGAGAGGCACATCAGATTCTCTCATCAGGATCTGATAGAATCCATCGGTCAGGTCGATGGCGCTGTAGATGACGCTGCCAGCCATGGTGTCCAGTACCATGTCCTTCCGAGGGATCGGAGTTTGCGCGGGGATGGTGGCATCATTCAACTTGTTGAATGCGTGCACAATACGCCATCCCCCTGTAGCTTTCTTCACACAGAACGTTGGACTGGAATGGGGAGAGGTACTCTCACGCACGTGACCCGCCTTTCGGCGGCCCTCGAAGAAGTCGTCGATCGCTTTCACTTGATCACGAGGATGTGGCCATTGTCTGGTGACGCAGTACTTCGTACCTGGCGCGAGGTCGATCTCATGCTGAACCCCACGATCCGCCGGTAGCTCGGCGGGGATCTCATCCGGGAATTCGTCGGCGTACTCGCAGGCGGTGTCGTATACGGGACTCGCTGACCCCCGCAAGGCCTTCAGGATTGTGTTTGGAATCATTCATCTCGAGTTGACTTAGACTCAGTGCCTAGCGGACGTGAACGTACACTGTCCGTTGCGACCGCATTTGCTGACTCATCCACCGCGACTCCCTCGGTGACCAAGCATACTTGCTGGACGTCTCCAGTCTTGAGGTCCCAAAGAAAGTTCTTCCAGGACAAGCCTGGAAGGCGTGTGATCGCCGCTGCTTCGCGGTGGACTCGCGATTGCGATAGCACGCGACCGATTCGGACCTCCTTCCACGTACCCCAACGCGTTGACCGATTCCATCGGCGGGCTATCGCTGGTCGTGGAGTCTCGACGAGGTTTCAGGTGTCATCTCTTCCATTTCTTCTTCGACTTCCTCGAGCGTACGCTCGAGTCTGACTCACTGCTACTCGACGATACATCACCCTCCTCAAGGCGCGGGAGACCGTACTCGACCGGGCCGGAAACATGCGGGAGCCCCTGTTCAACCGCGGCATCGTTTCATGGGAGCCCAATCTGCTCGACAGCCGAATCGTTCGGCGGGAACCTCTGCTCTACCGCCGTCTCGTTGTGTGGGAGCCCCTGTCTCGTATTGTGGGAGCCCCTGCTCGACCGTCATCTCGTGTTGCGGGAGCCCCTGCTCGACCACCATCTTGTACTGTGGGATCCTCTGCTCAACCACTTCATCATCTACCTTGCGAAACCGCGACGCTCTTCGTCCAACAACGTAGCACAAGCCATGCAGAGAGGGCCATCGCTCGCTCTGTGCACTGCCTGTGTCGCTGCTGTTTTGTCCACGACTGTGACGTGGGGCCAGTCTTTTAACGCCACCAAGAGGTGTGTGAAGACCTCGCTCACGTCGAATCCACGTCGACGCTTGACTGATTGGGCCAGCCAGTCAATCTCTGGCTGATATCGCGCGAGCCAAGGGATACCCAGGATGCAGTCAAACGCGTATTTCATCTCGATCACCAAGAAGTCGTCCTTGCTACGGAAGCCGTCGAACGTGTACGACAAGGACACGTCACGCCGCGCAACGCGGCGAGCCTTACCATCTGCGAGTTTGACTTGGATCTCGCCCGGACCATTCTGGGCGCGGACGTTCTTGGGTAGTACCGACAAACACGACGCGCGAAAGCAGTTGTTGGTCGCTCCTGAGTCAAGGAGCGCGCGCAGTGGTCGCCGGGCACCGGTGACGTGGAGGCTGACAATGAACAGTCTCGAGTCGCCCGGCGTAGTGGTGGCATTGGTGCGTGCTTGGAGCACGGGAGGGCTCGAAGGTTGGGCTTCCACCGGAGGGCCCGGTCCTTCGTTTAAGCCAGTAGGGCGCCCCGCACCTACTGGCCCTGGTTGTTTTTTTGAATGAGCGACCGAGGCGTGTTCCGCATCAGCGGGAGCGACGACGGGAGCTGGCGCGCGGCACTCCGCCCCGCGGTGACCCTTCTTCTCAGAGCGGAAGCAAATTAAGGGACGATTGCTTCGCCCAGCGCTACAGCGGTAGGACCCGCGACGTCGATCCCTCGAAGTGTTGATGGCGTCGATCTCCATGGGCTCGGGGGTAGACTCTCGGGCTTCCGCAGGTATGGCTGCGGCGTACGTTGCAGCGACCATGTAATCCTCGCGAATCGCGAGTGCAAATGCCTCTTCGAGAAAGGAGGGCTCAGCTCTGGTGAGGCAGTAGCGGGTCATACCCTCGCGCACGCCGAACACAAATACGTGGACTTGCGAGGACATGTCGATTGGCTTGGTCACGATGCATGACGCCAGATGTCGCGTCTTCTGGACGTAATCACGCATGGACATCTACCCTTGCCGAAGAGCAAAGAGCTACGCGCGAACGCGAGACTCATCTTGCGGGGGCTCGAACGCGAGACGCAAGTCGCTCTGGAGAGTATCCAGAGTCGGGAAAGCCTCGGGGTCGACAATCAGCTTCCCGAGGGCCCATTCTTTGGCCTTCCCGGTTAACCGGGAGAGGAGGAAGTTCACCTTGGCGGATGACGCCTCGATGCGTCGCGAGGCGATAGCGATGTCGATCTCGCGGAACCACTGGTTTAGCGGGAGCCGGTTTTCACCGGCGCCAGAATACGTAGACGTCTACATCTTGACGACGTCATTCTGGGATGGACGCGAGGGAGTTGACACCCGCCGATTCGCATCGACGAGCTCGCGTTCCATGAACTCTTGTGCTGCAAGACGTTGCTGGTCGGGCGTCGCTGAGCTCAGCAGCGTTGCGACAACGGCATCTCCGGACACCGCCACGAGGCGGTGAAGCGCTTCCCCCTCCACGCGAGTGAGATGGGGGAATGCAGCATGCTCCAGGGTTGCCCCGGAGATCTGGACTTGGCTCATCGTAGCCTTGGTCGTTGGAAGGACTACAAAGTGCTACCAGGTGTAACGGGGTAAGAGATACCGTCACTAGCTTACGATATAGTGTGGAGGAAGCTCGCAATAGTAACACCAAGTCTTAGGTTTGTGTCAAATTAAACTCTGATTTATTTAGGACCAGGGCGGCTACTCCTGGCCTCATGTGAGCCACTCAAACACATGTCTATACCTGATTGATCAATAAGTGGTGTATAATTCTTCACTATCAACCAATCAGGTGATGACACCTTGACACACGCTACCCGTGTGCCACTTTACCTACTTATGTAATAGCTAAGGAAATATCTACCTACTTATGTATTTGGAGTTGGGCCCATTACAGCCGCTATCCATGCGCACGTCTCCGTGTTGCTCCCTATGAATCTGCAATGTGTCCACTGCGATTGGGGGAGCAACCAAATCCGTAATGATGTACGACAGCATGAACGGGAAGAAGAATCGAAGCCAATGGACGCGCCTTGCCAAGCAGCTCATCCAAAGCGCACTCGGCGGAAACGACTACACCATACAAGACGCGACCGAGCCCATCCAGAAGTACAGCAACAATTGTGGTGTACCTGTCTGCAGCTTTTTCTGTATCTGTGTCAGTGGTAACCCACCCGAAGACCTTTCAGCTGCGGACACCTCCACGCTCTGTTGGGGAATCCTCGCATCAATCTTGAAGAAAGGAGGAGAAAGATAGAAGCTCGCAAGTGAAAGCTGTCAGAAGGATAACAAGATTCAGTACATGGACATCACTTGGATGAAACCCGGGAATCTCTCTCTCTGTGAGAATGGAGCGGATTGTACCCACAATGACCTGAACATTGCCGACAGATTCAAGAGGCTGTCACTTAGGATTTTTCGTAGATAGTGCACATACGCGTTGTCCATGTTTGAGCATAAGTAAGAAAAACTGGCTGTAGTCGCCGAATTTTCATTGGCTAAGAAAGCTCCGGCAAAGTGGAACCGCCATCACTTTAGCTTTTGCACAAGTAGAGCGCATGCGTTTGTTTAGCTTTAAAACCTGGTTGAAACTTACACTGTAATATATGGTCGATAAATAAATTGTTTGCATCTGATTCGGTCTCAATTCCAGCGAAGCCTGGATCGCAATTTGGCCATACCTAGGATTATCAGAGATCTGAGTATTTTGTGAAACCTGGGAAACCTGGATGTGAGCGCTGTAATGGGGTACGTAGCCTTAAGTGTACCCCTAGTTACACGAAGTATGACACGTCATACTTCGGGATATTTGGTACAAGGTACCAAGGTCGTCCAAAGCCAACCATTGGTTGACGACATTGCTTTTCTATAGGTGACTTATAGTTTTTTTTCATCAAGCTTTATCTACCTATAAATATACTCAGCTTACATTCTACCTTAAATTGGCCACTTCGCTCCCTATCGATAAAGTGGACCTGTGAGCTGCCGTTCACTGAGAGTTGGTATTCTCTCGAAAGTAGCGCAAGGTGCTGTGTGACCCCGTCACAAACGCCGTTCTTTATTCTATAACAAAAAGTCGTACTTCGCCCGAAGACCTCTGAAATGTAAAAACGCAGTGCACATGAAAAGACTAAAACTTAGAAGCCCACCAGAGAATAGTGTAAAAAGATCACCTTCATTTTTAGCATCGAAATTATACCGGTATCGTCTGCCACAAAATTTGGGCTGCACTAAAAATTGTCTGCCTGCTTACCGCTGCTTGTCAGGGCGGACACAGTTGGTCGTTTCTTCAGCAATCCCAGCACACCTTACCACTCATCGTAAGTATAATTTCTGCAAGGGAAACAATACTTTGAAATACATTTTGGCCAATGCGATGCCACTGACACGCTCCTGACTGAATGATCTACGCCGACCCAGGCAGCGCAGCCGCCCACTTGTGGGTTTTATTGGACTGGTCAATGACATTTACACACCTTGGGTTCAAGACGATGGATAGTAATTTTCTCACTCGTTTCCCTCTGAATGTAGGAAAATTCATGCACTGTTGTACAACACGCCAACGCCTTAACTGCACGTTTGTCTGCTGGGTGAATCGACTTAATGTCCCTTGATCTGCCGCACCAGATCCGCATACTTCGGCTTCTTAGCCATGTCGTTCAAGAAGTCCATGTAAGCGCGATCTTTTTGATACTCGGTGGTTTGCATGAATCGCATCAAAGCGCCACCGTTCAAATTATCGCTGATCTTGTCAGCAATACCCAGTGTTGCAGCGAAGTCCTCCTTAGTCGTCAGCTTCTTCTTCATTTTCTTCATTTCCCTCGTAGATAGAGCTCTTTCTTCGTCTTCAGAATCGTTTTCCCGGGTGGCGTGTCGAGCCCTCAGAAGTCTCTGGCTTGAGCTGGCAGGTGATGCAGCTTCGGAGATCTGGGTGGAGTCGATTGTCAGCGACAAGGCCTCGCAGGTAACCAGAGCAGACGTCGCGAGCATCAACAAGACGTAAGGAAGACGCATCGCTGTTAAAGTTTTGCTGGGATTCTTGAAGGCTCTGGAGAAATTTGAAAATGAGACCTAGAGCTCAAACTCGTGCTACAGTAACGCACTGACAGTTGGCGTCGTATCACGGACGCTCCTGTTGTGGTTTTGCTGGAGCACATCCCCGGATACGATTACCTTATCGTGTCTACCAGTCAGCACGGGCATTTTGACAGAAAGTGGTGGCAGATCTTTCGAATTATGGTACGCCATTGATGCAGCGATCGTACTGGTACTTCAGTATTGTGGTTTTCAGCTCGGTTGACCTTTCGATCGTACTAGCCGAGTAGGCGGTGTTTTACGTAAGTCCTCGTTATTTTAGCATTTCCGCCTCCGCTTCTGCTTTGAGCCCTTGTATTACCTCAAAGAAGTTGTACACGGCCCAAAAAGGAATATACAAAACCTAATAACCTTTGAAACTGTATCTTCGCAGAATTCTTATATTGTAAAATTTGAAACCTCTTTTACAAAAGAACCTTAAATTTTCAGGACTTCCTTAATGAGGCAACCAACAACTCCAGTTGTTTCCGAATTGCACTAAACGTTGCAAGCAAATTATTTGCACTGCACTAAGCGTTGTAAGCAATCGAAGGCTTCACTGGAAGCTAACAGGCTGCAGCGATCACAGCGAAGATGAGGGCGAGGCGCATGAGTGCACTGGGTGTTAACAGCGGACAGCTTCGGAGCAAATTGCAATGTGGGAATCGAACCTTTACCCGATGTGTTCTTGTTCCATACCAACAAATATCGGACGTAGGACCTGTACCAAGCGAGTGGTACATGATGGGATGGATACATTGATGTGTAAAGTGATTATGGGAGATAGGTTGGGAAGGTGTGGATGCTTTGCAACCTGAAAAACGATGAAAAGGGCCCTGTTGATAGGCGCAGTCACAGGCTCTGAAACGGCCTGTAGGCTGAGAAAAACGAGAAAAACGAAAACATGCAACTATTGACCGAGAGCCATGCGCTCTCGAGCCGGTAAATTTAACAATGAGCCAGTGGCGGGGTCCACTATTGAAAGCATTCGCTTTTCAGCCAGCCATTGATGCTTGTCGCTATTGGCTAATAATCCACCAATGAGATGCTGCCACATACAAGGTGGAAAGACACGTGGCCAGTGGATGGCCACAAGCTGAAGGGTCGTGGCGACAACAGCCTTCTTCGCTCATTCGGTCTTTTTCACTCCGTACCTGGCAACCCCCCCCCGTTCATCGGACCCAGAAGCGCTAGGGTTAGAGCGCAGGATCCGTCCTGGACACCGGTTCAACTCCGGCTGGGTTCATCGCTTCGCGCGTCTGCTGGGGGTGGAGGTTGTTCCGCACCCGTGCTGCGCCTGCTGCCCGCGCTGCTGCAGCCGTTCTCGTGCCGCGCCTGTTGCCCACGCTGCTGACCCCGCGCCTGCTGCTCATGCTGCTGCCCGCGCTCGTGCCCCCCTCCCCTGCTGCAGTGCGGTTTGTCCCTACTCTTTGTTCTGATTGTCTGACAAATAATACGTATTGTTTTGCGCTGTTCAAAGGTTGACTAACGTGTATTGTCTGCTGTGATAGTGATGCATCTAACCAAGTAACTCAACGACGTCTTGTGTCTAGCCGGGTGCAGGATCTTGGATAGCTGCCGACTGGAGCAGACGCTGGTGGCGCTCTATTTAGCGGTTGAGTGCACCAGCCTTGTGCAGGGCCTGGAGATGCTTGAGAACGGAACTGGACCCGCGCAACGCGATCTTATGCTGAGCCAGAAAGGAGAGAGCTTCTTTCTCCGCGCGCAAACCGAGGGCAAGGACGTCGTCGCGGTAGCTGACAGCGCTTGGATCCAGCCTAAATCCGTCGGCCAAGAACATGTACGCAACCAGCAGCTTCGCGCTCGAGCGCTGTCGCTTCGGCTCGCTCGCGTGCCATCGTGGCTCATGGGCATACCAAGCAAACCAAGTGGCGTGAAGGTGAGTTGCCCCACGCCTGCGCTGCTTCTTCTTTGGTGTGCTGACTTCTTGCTCTCCTTCTTTTTCACTTAGCTTGTTGCGCTTAATGGTCAGGACATGATCGTTGTTCAGCTTGGCCTCCAGAGCGTCCATCCGCTCGTCTTGCCGCTTTCGACATGTCGATTAAGTGCTTAACCACAGAAGCTTGGTGATCGATGATGTTCTGCTCCTTCGGTTGATGTGCTTGGTGGGTAGTGTCGTTCTCCGGAGTTTGCTTGTTGTTACAGGGTTCGGCTGCTAGCGAGAGATGCGCAGACCAAGCAAGAAGATTCACCAGCGTGCTTCCACCGCTTTGCACAGCACCTTCGACCCGCGTGACGACTGGACTGCTGTGGCTCAGCTCCTTCAACAGCGGGAAGTATCGGAAGACGGCCGCAGTCTGGATGTCCACGACCTGCTTGTTGACGTTGAAGCTGGGGGTTGCGAGGCTGCTGCAGGACATGAACATCACGTCCTGTACGCGCTTGATCTGCTCAAGTGTCTGGGAGTCGAAGCTGCTGAGGTCCTGGAGTTTCACCTTCTTCTTCGGTTCGTATACCGCGAGGACTTTGGCTACCTTGTGATCCTCCTTGCTCGTGTTGAAGATGTAGTTGAAACCCTTGTTCGTTGTGCTCATGCTCCAGGAGCCTCGGTCGAAGAGCCTGCGGTCCGTCAATCCCTCAGAGCCGTTCGCGTGTTGAGCTCCCCCGCGGCGAAACGAGTGCGAACTGAGTGCCTTCGTGACGCCAGCAGCTGGGGCGATCCGCTCCAAGACGCGGTTGACGTGCGAGTACACCGTCGGCGTCGACGGCGTATCTTTGGTGGCTGGGACAGAGAGTGTCGATGGCGCGGCGGGGGCATTCAGGAGCTCAACGAGCGATACATCGTCGGAGATCGTGGCCGTTGTCAAGGTTTCTTGGCGGGGAAGGTTGCCGACCAAGCCATCCGAGGGCGCTCGCTGGACAATCAAGGCAACAGCCAAGGCCAGCAACGGACACGTGAGGAACGCCTCGTCCGAGAAAAGCGAGAGCCCCTGCTCCTCGCTCGTCTTCACCCGGATCAGACGCAAGAAGAGTACGCCGCCCGCGTCGACGCTGACGTTCCGCTTCCGCAGCATCGACAAGTCTGACGCGCGGCCGAAGAGGTACCAAAGAAGACAAAACAGAGCAGCATCTTGGTAGTCAGTATCACAGGAAGCATTGGTATACAAATATACAAGCATTTTTTTTAAATCGGACTTCGTACATGGAGGTGCTTTGTTAACGAAACCACCACCCTCGCGCTTCAAACAGAAGCTGTCAAGCGTTTTCCCCATTTTAAGCAATCGGGTCTCTAAAGACGCAGGGGAAACTGGTCAAGCAGCCAAAGCTTGGCTTGTCGATAGTACTGCATGGCAGTATTTCTAGCTAAAGGTTTGCCCTTTTTGCCTTTACTAAATGCAAGATGCATTCCAAACTTATCCATTACAGATACAAAACATCTTCCACTGACATCGCGCTCAATGCATTTTCTTACGTACTCCTCTGCAGCGCCCTCTGCCTTCAGAAATTTCCTGAAGGCAGATAACGCTATCGCCTTGGCCCTCAAAGTGTTGCCAGGCTGGAGCTCATCCAGGCCCATCGCTTCCGTCCGATGCTGTGCAAATATGGGAGTGGTACGTGTCTGACCTACTATTTGCATTGGCATATACATATTTTGAGCTGCGATCGGACTCAATACGTCCGATCGGCTGGCTTAAAGGACTCACCTAACCCTAGGCGAAATTATTGGACAAAAATGCTGAGTGAAGCTTCGGCCATTGGTTGAAATGCGTAGAAATGATGTGATTGGCCATTTATAGGTGCCCAGAGGTCATACAAAAATTAAGTATGGTCCGATAGCTAATCATATTCATCCTTACCTTCAAATTGATGAAATACCACTTTAAGGCGACGGATGTAGGTTACTGCGCAGATATGTAAATAAAACCTGCGCTTTAAGAGCCGCGCGGACTAGAACCCGGGCTCACGCAGTCAAGAACGCTACCTACGATTTAAAGAATGAGTGCGGAGCACTCGGACGACAACCTTAAAAATCTTTTATTAACACTGTTTTGCAAGCTGAAATTTCGTTTTCGATTTGTTCTTTTTTGCATTTTCATGTCGTCCTTTTAGAGTATGTCAAATAAAGGCTTTAGGAGCGTTTGCTCATTCCTTAGGAGCTTTCGCTATGTGTTTCTGCGCGAGATTTACAGACAACGACGGTGAAATCCGCCATACCTTTGAAACACGCCCGAGTCCAAACATGATTTTCCCACTAATGAAACCAATTTCAGCCAATCCGTATGCCGTATTTGGGCGTTTTTGTACAATCAACCCAGGATGTGTTGATTCCTGCATCGGTTCTGTACATTTTGAAATCGTTTTTGTACTTTTTGTTTAGACTTTGAGCTGAAACTGCCACTTTCAACCAATCAAATAACTGGGCGGGTATTCTTGTCGCGCGTAAATTTTTTATTTTATATGAAGGATAGTGTTCAGACACCGGGCGGGTTTCACCGTCGTTGTCTGTAATGCCGAGTATAGAAAGTAGATGTCTTGCCTTTTTTCTTGTAATTCCGTCAATTTTTGTTTTGGTGTTTGGAGCCATCTGCGGTCACGAAAACAAATAAAGCAGTTGTGAAAACCCCGGGGTTCATATGAAATACAGACAACGACGTTGAAATCCGCCATACCTTTGAAACACGCATAAATCCGTACATGGTTTTCACACTAATAACACAGTTTCAGCCAATCCGTATGCCGTGTTCGGGCGTTTTTGTACAATCAACCCAGGATGTGTTGATTCCTGTACCGGTTTTGTACATTTTGGTATCGTTTTTGTACTTTGTGCTCAGACTTTGAACTAAAACAGCCACTTTCAACCAATCAAATAACTGGGCGGATATTCCCGTCACGCGTTGAAATTTTATTTTATATGAAGGATCTGGTCAGACACCGGGCGTCGTTGTCTGTAGTACATATCAATTTTGTGTTGGCTGCCG